TAAAAGAAGATTTGAAGGTTCCTCCCATTGACTTCCATGTTAAAAAAAGAGTTTAAAAAGCTGAATATCTCAAAAAGTATGAAATATCTTGAAAAGGTTGAAAGTTTCCCATGATGTTGCACAGCATTCACACTAGCTAAAGGTATTACATACATGCATGTAGTGGAGTAAAAGTACCTGATTTACCTCTGAACTGTAATGGAGTAGAAGTACAAAGTAAAACATTTAAATACTCAAGTAAAGTACAGGTATCTCAAATGTGTACTGAAGTACAGTACTTGAGTACATGTAGTTACTTTACACCACTGCTCATTTACCTTGTGGTGTGTAGATGTGGATGATTCCATGTTTCTGTGCTGTGCAGTGTGCACACACGTCAGGTGTCTCAGTTGTTAGAGCTGGCATCCCAGTGTCGCTGCCACGCACCTGGACGTCCGAGGCCATCGCTTCTATCTCCCCTTTAAACACTATAGCTCCAATAAAGGCACTCTCTGACAAAGACAAATAGTTTCAAACTTCACAGAAAAACTGTGCAGCTAAATTAATCCAATTGACAGATGTCATGTGAACGCATATTTCTGTAGATAGGGAGCATTTATTTGGAAAATATCAGTTCAAGTTTGAACAGAGACTACAATCAATGGGAAATGTTCCAGTTTCATTATGGAACTTGGGTGAAACGTATCATCAGTTGATGAAGATAGTCATTTGTGATGATGGAGTGTTCTTTGACTTTAGGGTGGAAGAAATGAATTGGAGACAGTGGAGGACAGATGTTGGTCATATCCAGGAGGAAGACCCTGGGGACAGGATGATGAAGCCACAGCCCCCCGAGCAGACTCCTGGTAAATCCTACACACAACTTGTATTCGTTGTTTGTACTGCTAAGATGTCACCAGTTCTGAGGAACCATGTTGTTTCAGGGAACCGGTGGAACCTCAGTCCGCTCCTGGAGAGGCTGCGTGGCAGACGGCGCCACCCGCAGCCGAGCATCACCTCCAGATCCTTTCAACCAGGGCTACCATTCTGAACACTCATATATCCATGTACTTCTGAGCATTTATTTGTAACCAGAGAAAGAATAATAGTTTGTTGAGAAACATAAACCCAGCTATAACTACACCTCTATAAACACAGGGGCTGTTTTCAATGGTAGTTTGTAGGTAGGTCATGGCTGTGGATTTCTTTTTTAATGTATTTGATAAAAGAGTTAACTAATAAATGTATACTTTGATATTGACTTGAATTATCTAAACCATATGTATATGTGCATAAAGACAGTCACTCATAAAAGCTTTGTGTTTGCAAACTTTATTTTGGTTAGGGGGAATGTTTGTGCAAGACATTTTATTCCTGAAGGTTAGGCAAAACTGGAAAATCACATTTTCAAAGTAGAGAAAGTAAGCCACCCTCCACCACCGTTCACAACATGACACATCTTTGAGATCAAAGACAGCCATACTAATGGGAGTAAAACAAATCTAGAGAGTTGTTTGATACCCGCAGCCCGATAAATATTGCCATCAGTCAGCTAACAGGATGAGCTGACTCCTCCAGTACTGACATGCACTGTGAGCACGTCTCTGCTGGAGGATTGCATTGTGAAATGGATCCAAAGGTTCAGGGGAAACATCTGAATCTTGCTTTGTGGGCTGTAAGGTGCAGGCAGAAACAACTCACTCTAAAAAATGTTTATTCCGTTCACATCTTTACTTCACAAGGTTTTCTCTAACCGTCCAAAGGAGGGCTGCAGCTCTCCTTTGGCACCAGGGTTTTGCTTATTACTCTCAGAACATAAGTTCCCAACGCAGCTGGAGGCCGGTGGTCCAGAGAGGGACGCTCTGTCACTTTGGTCAGTGAGTCAGCAGCAACAGTTCACAGTCCCGACAGCCTCTGGGACTCGTGGCACACTTCAGTCCATCACACAGTATCAGTAGTTACCCTAAGTAGCTTGGTCCCCCATCAGAGATGAACTTTGTGCACGTTAGTCAGTGTGCACGCCTGTGTGTAAGTACCCAAGCTTAACATACAGACACACGCACCCATTCACACACTTCTCCATACTACGCCCAGTGGAGGCACTTCATATGAAACTGTAGAACCTGACGGTGCCGGGCTGTGACCAGGCGGGTCAGAAATAAATAGGGCAGCACTGTCTAATGTTTAGTGTTGATTTAAAGTTTCAAGGATAGTTTGGATGTTTCAGGTGGGGTCATGTCAGGTATTTTTTCATAGTCCCCTAATGCTGGTCTCCCGCTGCATCGATCAGTTAGTTTGTGTGTTATTGTGCGGCTTTGGTTATTCCAAAGTAAACTGTAAAACAACAATATAACAAACAAATTAACCGATTGAGCGGTACACCAGCAGCTCCTGTGTTCAGGGTAAAACATGTATCACAGGAGTCTGGTGACATCGAATAAGGGCTTCAGTTCCCTGTCTGACGGGCGTTTGAAGGCAAGGTACAGCAGAAGTATTCCAATGCATTCTTTTTTTAGAATGTCCTTTCTTTAGGGGCTTAAATACATGTTGCTGCCCCCCTCTACAGCAGTACACTGCTCTGCTTCTGAGCTGGTACTCCTGTATTTTCCCCAACATCTACTGTAGGTAGTAAAACCATATACAACTCTTCTTAAAACCATCCCATTGGAAACCCCAACAGAAGGGTCAAACTGATGAAAGCTACTCTGGTCAGTTATTATACATTTAAAATAAAGTATAAACACTAGCAAAAAGTACCAGCATTTGAGTTGACCCGTCCCATAAATAGGAACTTATTGTCACTAATACAGCCCATACATCAACTACTATTCATTCACACGCACACACAAATCATACTAGTGTGTGTTAAGATTAAAGTCAATAGCAGCTTTAAGGGGCAGGCACATCAAAAATGAAAGCCGGGAAACAAAAACAAAAAAACTGCCATCAAGTATGTAGACCAAAATCCAGAAAAGCTAGTCTGCACCTCAGCTCTGGAGATCACGGATCATCGCGCCATCTCTTCTCCCTTTGGACCTGTACTGTATCCTGCCAACGGTGCAGAGGATAAAAGACTCTGCGGTGTGAAAGATTAAAGCGTGGATGCAAACCCCTTATTTGCCACAGAGCGCAGACACATCAGTTCACACTGTCTGCATCAACATGTGGCACCTAATGTGGAAACACCTATGGCTTCAGGATGCAGTGGTCCAAAAACAATAAATTAAACTATATCAGGATATTTATTAACAACTAAAACACAGTCCAAATACTTTAAAGAAACTGCTACAGCCCTGTTCTACAAATCATTAACTCTGCTAAATGCTAGATCATCTTAAATCCTTGATAGGCAACATTTCAGACAGTAGGATGGGTAATCTACCAACACATGAGTAGCATTATTACCTTAATCATTCAAATCAAGGCCATAGCATAATCATATGAACACTGCCCGATGATCCGACAACAGTACTGATCTCAAATGAACCAACGCTCAGAAACTAATATTTACTCATTCTTACAATGATATATGGAAGCCAATTTCATAAAGTTAAAATCTCCTAAGAAACGTTCTCAAAATAACCAAACAACAAAAAGATAGGTATTGGACATAAGTCTGTGATGGAAAATATAGTCAAAATATTCTACATTACAAGGCTACATTTTAGATTTTCCTTTTACTGGCGGAAATAGGATTCCATAATAAAGCCATAACTAAGTTGTGATCCTGGCAAAGGAAGTCAGTTAAGGTTTGTATAAAGAAGAGAAGAACTACTGTGACATTTAAGGCTTTTCCAGAAGGCTTGAGGCTAGCAGAGCGACGTTAGCCCGGACAACATCAGACCAGCCGAGGACTGGAGGACATGGGTCCATGCTAGACACATCTAGCAACACATAACCTGTATTAAATGTTACACTTTTTTTCCTTTATAGGTAGCAGATACAACACGGGGTGGGGCCAGTGATTAGTAGATGAACAGCCCCCCACAAGCCACACAGATAATGTCCCCCCCACATTAGTTCACTTGTGTTACGGCTCCTACACACGGCGGCGTGCGTTGCCGCTTCAACGCTTCTGCCCATTCACTTTGAATGGGGTGACGTCACGATTCGCCGAACTGCATTGTGGGAGCAAAGCGTAGCTTCTCTCGCGGTGCTCGCTGCAAAAGTAGAGCAATGTTCTACTTTTGCCGCCTCGACGGAGGCGTCAGCCAATCAAATCCCGCGTATGCAAATCTGACAGTACAAGCGCTAGCCAATCAAACCGCTTGTATGTTGGGAGAGCCAGACCGCAGTTATTTCCCATATGTCAAAAAATGGAGGAGAAAATGATCGTGGCGGTACTATATGACCAGTCCCTCTTTACATACAGGGATACAAACCGGAGGAGCCAGGCATGGGGGGAGGTGGCAGAGACAGTGGGTGAAACTGGTAGGTTTTCGCCTGTTTGGGGAGTTTATATCCAGTGTACTTCGTTTGAATGGACAGCTAGCAAGCATAGACAGTATATTTAGCCAGCATGGATGTAGCATGAATGCTTTGCTTTGTATGTCCGGGGCGGGACATTCATGTGATTGGTTGTTGGTCGCGTTGACTCCCCAAGCTCAAGACACGCCCACCGCCAAGCGGCAACGCACGCCGCCGTGTGTAGGCAGTAGCAAAGTGGTGAGGAAATGTGTTGCAGATTTTGAAGTACTTGCATGCTTGCAAGTGATCAATTAACGTTCACACACACTAACATACACACACCATTTTAACATTAAATGGGATGCCGTTGGGTTTCACATTAGCTAAAGACAAATAGGGCTAATGGAGGTTCTGCTCCTTTTGCCAAATGTTAGGCATAACATTTAAAAGTAATTTCTACAGTTCAAGTAGGACCATCTAAAGAAACAACAAACTAATAAAATAACTACTTCATAATCAGTTCTCAAATGATTACACACAAGAGGGTACTTTAGACTTTCCAAATGCAAGAGAAACCACTAGCAACTTGAGAAACTCATTAGAGAACGTTACCGTTTTTGCTAGTGCTGACTGTTTTATTTTAAATTTAATTCAGTTTGAAATGGGGTAAAGTTCACCAAAGAATCAAAAATATATTTTCCTCATCACTTTAGTATGAATTCATCTGGATTGTTTTGGTGTTTGTGGCTAATGTAACTAGCATGCTAGCATGTGGATGAGCCTCCCTTAACATTCTACATGATAAATGCCACTACAGGTAAGGAGAAAAACTCTATATTTTTGATTCTCACTAACAGTGATAGTTAGTCATTTCCGCACACTGATCAGCGATGGAACAACAACTACCTGAACCAATCAGTGCAGTTTAGAAGCCTTGTTGTATTCCTGATAGAAGCAGGTGTACACCTATCAACAGTCTCATTAATTGCATATACATGTAACCTTGTTGTTTTAAATGGATCACAAACCAGTTACGAGGATAAATAATTGCAAATAAAAACATTACACAAGGACATCCTAAATCTTGCCTTTGGGCAGTTTTAAGGCCACAAATGCTTAAAAGAAAAGTCAACCTAAAGCACTGTGACAATCATGGCAAGCATATTCTCAGCTGCAGATCAATATTTTAAAAACACCATATATACAGGAACAAAGAGCAGCACATCCATGCCAGTGATGAAAATAGGAAATCTACTCAACAGTGGACGACAATCTCAAAAACCCATCATCTGCAACAAAGGTATGACATGGCTTAAGACCTGAGGATGTTGTGAGAGATCACAACCTGGTGAGTCTAATCAAGCTCTGAAGCTTCACATTTAATTGATCACTTGCAAGATCTTAAAGAATAAACCACAGAAGCTGAAAATAGCTGTTGAGAAAAACCCAAACACACCAAGGGGGGGTCGGAGCGAGCTCTAGCGATAGCCTGGGTGATGAGCGTGAACACCCCCACCATTGTTGGGCTCCTGAACCTGGCTCATGGCTGACCTGTGCATCTTCTCCAGCACATGCTCCATGTTCTGCTCCTGAAAGCTGGGCATCTGGAACTCTCCTCCTAAGAAATCCACATTCTCCATCAACTTGGACTGAGCAGGGGGCCCCTCCTTCCCTGGCCTGTACTTGGCCCCTGGGATGCGGTCTGTGGAGGCAGCAGCCTGCCCTCCCTGGAAAGACACTGGGAGGTCCTGAGGGCCTGATCCATTGTGACCCCACTGCGGCTGCATGTAGTGGCCATTAATGTAAGGCATAGACCCCACAGGGCAGTTAACGGGGGAGGAGGGTGGGAGTTTTTCTGCAGGGTGTTTTAAAGGAAAGGACTGTGCAGTGTTGGGGAGCTTGTGGGAATAATTTGGGTTTCGAGACGAGAAAGCACACTCAGTGGGAGGCTCCATCCTTGGGTTCTTGCAGGGATGGGCCCCCTCAGGGGGCTGCTGCATGTGAGCCATCTGATGCTGCGCCCAGGAGCGCTGCTGCTGCTGCATCTGCAGCTGCTGTTGTAGGTGTTGGTGCTGCTGTAACTGCTGCTGCTGCTGCTGCTGTTTCTGCTGATGGAGATGATGGTGCTGCTGCTGCAGCTGGAGCTTCTCTGGGTCTGCATGAAAGGCAGATGTATTGGGCTGTGAATGCAGCGCAGCATTGGGAGTGTGAGCTGTAGCTTTGTCCAGGGGTCCCATCATGTGGCAGCTAGGCCCAGAGCCCAGCCCCAGGTGGTGACAGGACACCCTGGAGCTGGCGTTGATCAGCAGGTTGCGGCTGATGGGGCTAGGGTTTGCGATCTGGCCCTCACAGACTGAGGTGGCGCCCATACCCGCCCGTGCCTGGCACAACTGGTTGATTTGTTGCACAATGCTGCTCAGGTCACTGGGTCGGTTCTGATGCAGGCTGGATGCCATCGACAGTGGGATGGTGGAGGTAGATACAGTTACATTTGGTGGGGCGTCTGCGTCAGGGAGCTTCCGGGGCCCGTATGCCCCTGGTGGGGGCTGCTGGAGGCTATTAGGCATGGTAGGAGTTCCTGTACCCTGTGCCTGGGGAAGGGGCTGTGGGCCAGCCAGCCCCTGGGTGTGCTGCAGGCTGGGAAGGTGAGCCCCATCAGACATGTGGCGCAGGTCCTGAGTCAGTGAGTGTTGTGAAAGTAAAGCTTGCGGAGGAGCCGTCGGATGCTTCAGTGTCTGCAGATGAGAAAGATGCTGCTGCTGCTGAGCGGCAGGTGGAGCAGACTGGTTCTGGTTCTGGTTCTGGTGCTGCAGGGCCTGGGTGTGAGGCGCACTCTGCTGCTGCTGCTGCTGCTGCTGCTGCTGCTGCTGCTGCTGCTTCTGCTGCTGCAGGGCCTGGGTGTGAGGCGCACTCTGCTGAGCGGCAGGTGGAGCAGACTGGTTCTGGTTCTGGTTCTGGTGCTGCTGCTGCAGGGCCTGGGTGTGAGGCACACTCTGCTGAGCGGCAGGTGGAGCAGACTGGTTCTGGTTCTGGTGCTGCTGCTGCTGCTGCTGCAGGGCCTGGGTGTGAGGCACACTCTGCTGCTGCTGCTGCTGCTGCTGCTGCTGCTGCTGCTGCTGCTGCTGCTGCTGCTGCTGCTGCTGCTGCTGGGCCTGGGTGTGAGGCGCACTCTGCTGCCTCTGGAGGCCTGGGGGATGAGCCAACCTTTGCTGTGAAGGCTGAACCTGGGACAAACTCTGCTGACGCTGCATAGCTTGTGAATGAGCCATGCTCCTCTGCTGTAAAGCCTGTGGGTTAGGCATCGTTTGAGGCTGCTGTAAAGTCATTGGATGAGCCATGGTTTGCTGAAGCGCCTGCGGGTGAACCATGCCCTGCTTCTGGGCTGCAGGCTGAGACTGGCCCTGTAGGTGAGGAGCAGGCTGAGACTGACCCTGTAGATGAGGAGCAGGCTGAGACTGACCCTGTAGGTGAGGAGCAGGCTGAGACTGACCCTGTAGGTGAGGAGCAGGCTGAGACTGACCCTGTAGGTGAGGAGCAGGCTGAGACTGACCCTGTAGGTGAGGAGCAGGCTGAGACTGACCCTGTAGGTGAGGAGCAGGCTGAGACTGACCCTGTAGGTGAGGAGCAGGCTGAGACTGACCCTGTAGGTGAGGAGCAGGCTGAGACTGACCCTGTAGGTGAGGAGCAGGCTGAGACTGACCCTGTAGGTGAGGAGCAGGCTGAGACTGGCCCTGTAGGTGAGGAGCAGGCTGAGACTGGCCCTGTAGGTGAGGAGCAGGCTGAGACTGGCCCTGTAGGTGAGGAGCAGGCTGAGACTGACCCTGTAGGTGAGGAGCAGGCTGAGGAAGATTTAAAGTGCTTTGAGTGGCGTACAGCCCGCTGTGAGGATCCATGACGACTTTGTGAAGCTGTCGGGCGCGGCTGCCGTCCGACTCTTTGATGACGCCTTTGGCGGGCGCACGCAGGACAGCCAGCAGACCCCGACTGGAGCTGACCTGAGAGGGTAAGGACTGTGGCGCTGGCTGGACGACGTGTCGAGCCCGTTGACTGTACGGCGAATGTGCTTCCTTTGAGGTACTTTGACACTGTTGGGGAAGATCTGGATGGATAGTGGGTTGTTGGCAACTTTCTTAGCATAGGCATCCAACTCTGCTGGGGTTGGATAGCTGGCAGATCTCATCTTCTGTGTAGTTTCCCCTGCAATGCGTCAGTCAAAGGTCAGCCATACAGAAATACATAACAACATGTTGGCAGCTTGAAAATAGTATGTGACAATTTGTACTCTATGTTTGCGATGTAGTCATTAACTACATCTTAACTAGAACATGTATTGGAACGTGCATCATCATTAACGGCCTAACTTCTTTTAGCATCAAATAAAAATAACTTTATTCAACTGAAGTTTTCCAACTCCTATTTTTCCAGACTGGATCTTGTCTGCAGAAATGTGCTTAAAATGGCTGAAAAATGTGAAATATGTGTGCAATCATAATAGCAATATGTATACAGCGTTTCATGAATATCGGAATAACGATATCCGAGTAGTTTAGAGTAATTTGCGACATGTAAATCGTCAAATTGTGTATTCGCTGTTAGCTTACACGATTGAGCTATCAAAAAAGTTCTTCTCAATTTAGCATCATATTGGATACGGGCTGAACGTGTCCTGGATTAGAATTTTTCCGATCATTCCCCTAGGAGGAGTTGGCAAGAATGTGCTTAAAATTGTTTTAAAAAACGCACATTTTTCAAAATGGCCGACTTCTTGGGGGGCGGGGCTAATGGAATGTATTTACAAATATGTCCGCAATTCCATGAGGAATGTCTGTGCCAAAATTCGTGAAGTTCTGAGAAACTATATGTGACTACCACACAATAGGGGGCGCTAGTGAGCAGTTTTTTTGAAAAATTACGTTTTTTTTTACATTCTCGAAAAGGTCGTGGGCTCTGACGTGTGTCCCAAGTTTTGCGTCCGAAGCTCATTTTATGCTATCGCAATTTTAAAAAAATGTATAGGCTACGCCCACATTCTGCATTTGTTGCGACACTTTAAATCTGAGTTCGTAGTCACCTCGAGAGTATGTGTAAAAAAAAAAAAAAAAAGATTAGTACATCCGCTCTTGAGTTATAAATTGGTGGTGTTTTTGGCGCCCCCTGTAGTCATTAACTACATCTTAACTAGAACATGTATTGGAACGTGCATCATCATTAACGGCCTAACTTCTTTTAGCATCAAATAAAAATAACTTTATTCAACTGAAGTTTTCCAACTCCTATTTTTCCAGACTGGATCTTGAACACCGTCCAGCTACAAACCAGTTTGTTCATCACATTTGATACTGTTTACACTGTGAGATTTCTATTATTAACACTGTATAAAAAACATTATACCCTCTTAAAGGTTTTAGGTATCTCTCATGATGACTGTAATGATGGCAGTAGCTCAGTCTAAGGACTTGGCTTGGGAACCGAAGAGTCGCCAGGACAAGTCCCAATCAGACCAAATACGTGTGGACTGGTAGCTGAAGAGGTGCCAGACCAACTACTGGGCACCGCCAAGGTGCCCTTGAGCAAGTGTATGTTTGTTATGAATTTTAGGCAATTGTGATTATTGATAACATAACACCGTGAAAAACTGAATTTCCCCATGGGGATTAATAACAGTAATTGTAATCACACTTTCAAGTCATGTTACTTTAAGACCATGATTGAATGATATTGCAAACGTTTAAATTGAAACATCTCACTTACATTTCTGAAGTCCAGTGTTCATCTGCGTGCGGGAGAGAATTCTGAGGGTAGGGTCACCTGATGCTGGCAGACAGGCCAGCATGTCACTCTTCCACTACTGCAGCGTGGGACACCTTCTCTCACCATACTGGGGAGGAACAGAGGGGAGAGTGAGCCGCTGACAGACACTGACGCTGGTGTGATACGCCATTCCTATTGCCTATTTTCACATCCAGTACAGTTTGACCTTTTGCAAGGCAGCTTGCAATAAACTGACACCATGTTCTTCCATTGAACACAACAGCACATTGGAGTAGCATGATGGCAGACAACCAGCTTTGTGTATTACTTAAAAATAATTGCTTTTATGAGTGATTACTTTAAAAAAACAGACATGATCAGCCTTACCTCTCACATATGGAGATTTCTTGCTTTTCCTTCTTTTATTCCATATTAAACTCAATATATTTGAGTTTTGGAATGATATACAAGTCATTGCCTTAGACTTGGAGAAACTGGGGTATTTTCCCATCTATAGACTAAACTATTAATCAAGTCATTAACGATCTGCAGAGTAATCAATAAATTAAAACTGCGGTCGCACTTGTGCGCGCAGTGATGAGCGGGCCCTCGCGTCCGTGCACCTGTCGGGGAGGGCAGCCGGTCGTCCCGGCGTCAAGCAGACGCGCGCGAGTACTGGGAAATGAGCCGTTTGTCATTTCTATAATTTTCGCATCCCAGACTCCCAGGTCCTCCGGCAGCGACCCGGAAACGGCTGTCGGCGCGCCGTCTCGAAGGAAAACAAATTTCTCTAAAGGCTCGTCGAGGATCGATTATCGAGGAGGCTGTCTGGAGGAGCCGTAACCGAGGATACACTGATTTAGAGTAGAGAGGAGACTCTCTGGAGGAGCTATAACCGAGGGTACACTGAAGTATTCTCCTGAGACGATTTCAGCCAACAGTGATGTTTAAAAGAGGCGTGACGCATGGCTGGACTTCTGTCAACGAAGCACAGCTGTGCAAACTGTTCCCGTTGTGATTATAAGTTATTTGAGATGATCAAATGTGCATCAGACTTTCTGCCCTTTACCGTTTGTTTACTCACTAATCACATGTCCCCTGGATGTTAGGCTATTTTTTTTTCAATACAACTGCTTTCATTGTGACGCGATGTTTACAGTGAGAACAGCTGCTGAGGTCAGTGCAGAAAGCAGAACAGTGTGTATAATATATATCGCTCAATAATATATGTACCAGGCCTACATTTCACACTTTATTTGTAGGCTTTAGGAGATATCTACAAATAAACAGTAGGGTTAGGGTTAGGGAGTGTATAGGTGTCTGTTGTAATGAATATGCCGCCAGCAAAGGGCGTTGTTGGAATAACAGTAGGTGTGTATGTGTGTCTGTTTGTGTGTGTGTGTGTGTGTGTGTGTGTGTGTGTGTGTGTGTGTGAGAGTTGATGTGTCAGGCAGACAGGCAGGTCTCAGTAGCTTATCTGACATATAATTGGTCAAAAATGGTACATTCTCCGTTAGCCTACGAGCTCCCCGTTTGAACGAAGGACTATTCCTTCTCAATTTAGCATCATATTGGATAGGGGCTGAACGTGTCCTGGATTGGAATTTTTCCGATCATTCCCCTAGGAGGAGTTCGCAAGAATGTGCTTAAAATGCATGAAGAACGCACATTTTTCAAAATGGCCGACTTCCTGGGGGGCGGGGCTAATGAAAAGCAATTTTAAATATGTGTGCAATCATAATAGCAATATGTATACAGCGATTTGTGAATATCGGAATAACTATATCTGAGTAGTTTGGAGTAATTTGCGACATGTAAATCGTCAAAAATGGAACATTCTCCGTTCGCTTACGAGCTCATCGTTTGAGCGATCAATTATTCCTTCGTAATTTAGCATCACATTGGAAATGGGCTGAACTTGTCCTGGGTTGGAATTTTTCCGATCATTCCCTAGGAGGAGTCCGCAGAAATGTGCTTAAAATGGCTGAAAAACGCACATTTTTCAAAATGGCCGACTTTCTAGGGGGCGGGGCTAATGGAAAGCGATGTGAAATATGTGTGCAATCATAATAGCAATATGTAAACAGCGTTTCATGAATATCGGAATAACTATATCCGAGTAGTTTGGAGTAATTTGCGACATGTAAATCGTCAAAAATGGTGTATTCGCTGTTAGCTTACGACCTCCACGATTGAGCTATCAAAAATGTTCTTCTCAATTTAGCATCATATTGGATAGGGGCTGAACGTGTCCTGGATTGGATTTTTTCCGTTCATTCCCCTAGGAGGAGTTCGCAAGAATGTGCTTAAAATGCATGAAAAACGCACATTTTTCAAATTGGCCGACTTCCTGGGGGGCGGGGCTAATGAAAAGCAATTTGCAATATGTGTACAATTATAATAGCAATGTGTATACAGCGTTTCGTGAATATGGAAAAAAAAATATGCGAGTAGTTTGTAGTAATTTGTGACATGTAAATCGTCAAAAATGGAACATTCTCCGTTCGCTTACGAGCTCATCTTTTGAGCGATCAATTATTCGTCGTGGGCTCTGACGTGTGTCCCAAGTTTTGCGTCCAAAGCTCATTTTATGCTATCGCAATTAAAAAAAAATGTATAGGCCACGCCCACATTCTGCATTTGTTGCGACACTTTAAATCTGAGTTCATAGTCACCCCGAGAGTATGTGTAAAAAAAAAAAAAAAAAAGATTAGTCCATCCGCTCTTGAGTTATAAATTGGTGGTGTTTTTGGCGCCCCCTATAGTCCAACATTTAAATGCTTTGGTGTGCCTATTCCCCAAGACAGACTGAACCTATTTACCAAAATCTGTGATGTTTGGATACATTGTTGATGAGTTATGAGCATTTCTTTCTAAGCCCTGCCTTTTTGCGAGTACGTTTTGATTGACGGCGGCAATATGTATCGTCCTAACATGCTCATTTTCTACGGTAATGTGTCTGACCCTCCACCGATGCTGTATACGAAGTTTGGTGTTGAAAAACTGAAAATTGAAATTTAAGTGAATATTTAACTGTTTAGAACATTATGCTAATTTAAATGTAAGGGTTAGGTGCGACTTTGTAAATTTATTCCGAAATGGGATTTTGATAGGTGGCGCTAGTGAGCAGGTTGGAATATTTAACCCATTGACTCCAGAATATTGAATTTTTCACCGGTCCTGGCGTCCGTGCAAAATTATACAACTTTTGAAGCATCCTAAAGACCTCAAAAAGAGGAAACGCCAGCACTATAATAATAATACCACCAATAACAATACAACTTCGTGCTTGGACGCCGTCGGGAAATGTTTTTAGGCTATTTTATAAAAAGCTTGAACTGGATCAAAAGTGAAACATGGATCCTGAATTGAAATGCATTAAAGTGGAGTATGTACACAAACACGTCCAGACGCCACTATAGCAGAGTCTTCACACAATTGGAAAACGTTAGTAATCACTAAGGATGTACCACTATAACAAGTACACTTCAGGTATTCAACAGTGGTACTGAACTGTGGACGGATACAAGCAGGATCTGCTCATGAATGATGACTAGGGTTGCAAAGGGGCGGAACGTTTCCATGGGAAGTTAAGCTGGGGAATTTTGGAAATATTCGATGCAGAATTAAACAAAAAACATGACATTTCAACAGATATAAAAAAACATTTTTTTTAAATAGAACAGAACAAGTTTTATTTATTTTATTGAACAATTATTTGTTTCATTGAAGAACGAAAACAGGAATATTGAGTTAAATATTACTCATCCCCCCCCAACCCCACTCATTAAAAAATGAACAAAAATGCACCCCCCATCCAAAAATCCCCACAAAGTCCCATTCAAAATGTTACGAAATGAAAAGATGTGGCTTCATCTGTCTTGTGCTTTGGGCTCAAAAGTGTGATCCAGTCTTCTCGAAATCATCTGTGCATGTGATGGAGGAATGCACAGTAAGCTATGGCATGGATATTCAATTGTACTTGAATGGCATCTGTTTGTTTTAGTCAAGATTAAGCTAAAATATACTTTTCCCAACTATATTTAAGTTCCCTATGAAGAGCCAACCTTCAATTTAGAAAATTCCCAGTTTATTCCCATACATTCCCGTTTATTCCCATGGAAAGTTTCCATTTCCAATTTTGCAACCCTAATGATGACTCAGCAATATCATGAAGGAGTAAGCCATTTATGTGAGTTTAAGTAGGCTAACACGCAATATTGCGACGGAATGATTCACATGTTTTAACTAAGCACCAAAAATGACGTCTTCATACTGTTTGTGTTGTAGGACCAACAGAGCCAAAAACAATGTAATATCTATTACTACATAACACCATAACATTAAAGAAGCTGGAACAATGGAATGTAATACAATGGTATTTGTGTTTAAAATGTATGATAGATTGATGATCTTTTCTATAATGTAACTGATGAATTGTTTAAGCTCTAGTGGCGTGTTGCTGAAGTCACCAGCTGAGACATGTTAGCATCAGATCTATGATACACAAAGAGGCCGTGTTAACAATGGGACATACAGCAGAGTTGATCAAACACTGCGTCTATTAGCTAATACCCAGTGCCAGTCATCAATCATTTGCTGTAACAGAACTGATTCTGACCTTAGTGATACCTTAGGGTAAAAGGCCCTGGTGTGAAATCATTGTATACAACAGCAGAGCAGTCCGTCAATCAAGAAAGTAGCTATCAGATTGTTGAAAACTTAAATAATTGTTAGTTGCAGTCTTACAGCAGACTTTATTTCCCCTTCCTGCCACTTGAAAAAGAGAAGGCAGGGAAGAGGAAGAGCTTTCTTCTGATTGGTTACACATCATTTTGCAGATTCATCACAGATAGCTTATGATTCACCATTAGTTCACTTCCACTGTTCAGAGACTTGAGTGATTTGTCAGTGGTACAAACTTAATGATCTCTAAAGGTTATTAGAATAAATGTATCTGGGGAGATGGATTGCCGTCTTGGATATGTGTGTGTGTGTGTGTGTGTGTGTGTGTGTGTGTGTGTGTGTGTGTGTGGTGTGTGGCTCTTCGATGTGATCTAAATGCAAATGCATCTGGCTAAAGGCCAGTGTTTACCTTCTCACCATTAGATCATCACATTTCATTACTACATGTTACTTGTTAGACGCTTTTATCCAAAGCGACTTCCATACTCAATACTGTGGGCCATCCCCACAGGAGCACTTTGGGGTGAAGGGTCTCAGGGACACAACGACATGCTGACTGCAGTGGGGTTTGAACCTGTGCTCCCCTGATCCCAACACCAACGCTCAACCCACTGCGCCACACGCCTCCTAGATCATCTCAGATCTTAGAGATAAGTCAAATGAGCAATAATGCAGGGTACAAATACTTTGTTGCAAGTAAAAGTAATGATTAAAAAAAATCTTACTGTAGTAAAAGTATCAGAAGTAAAAACAGATGTACAATATTTCCAAAACTAAAATGATGTATTATGCAGATTGGATTTAGACTACACGTTACTGGATTATAATTATGTGATGATTGTTTTCATAACTTGAATGTTGCAGCTGGTTAAGGGTGAAACTCATTAAAATAATAAATGATAATGTATTTGTTTTGTACTTGTGTTAATTTGCTAAATAGGTTAGGCTGTTGTATAAAATACTTTGTTGAGTAGGAGTATATAGTATGATGAAATGGAAATACTTTGGTCCATGTATCTAGAAGTCCTACAGTATTTTCTAAATGTCCTCAGCTACATTCCGTCACTCCTTTAAACTGTGTGAGCCTCAGGAGGAAGGGAGAATCTGCATTAAAGACTACATAATGTGACCTTTTCCACAGACTCGGGTGAGCGGGTGGATCTATGGCATCGTCCGCGGCTAACGCCTACATTGACCGGCGTATCGATCAGAGTTAGAACACAGTAATAAATGAGGCAGGTTCACTTTCAGACAGCCGGTCTGTAGCTAGGTAACGTTAGCCATCTGTCTAGCCATCCAGCCTCAATCTGTTGTCATTTAAAACGTTAGCTAACATTAGTGCCGACCTAATAAATGTACATGGAATATTTCAGCAAGCAAACTGGCCGAACTGAAAGCATACCGTCTCCTCAAAAGATGAGAATAACGTCGTGGAACAGGTTAAGGTTACCTCGAGTCAGTAAATAAGGAGCTTCTTTGTGCTTGTTGTGAGCAGGCCAGCTGCTTAGCTAACTTTAGCTTCTCATTGACGGAAAACCCCGAGGCGAGCCGAATTAAAGAACGGGATACTTACTCCTCGTGAATCTATGAGTAAGGAAACTTCATTTTGTGGAGATGCAACGTTGATGTTTTTGTAAAAAAAATATGAAGAGACCATCCCCAGCGTTGGCTCTCCGTGCTGCTGCTGCTGCTGCTGCTGTCTGGCTACCGCAGCAAAAAATTGTTGCGAATGCGCAGAGCGAGCCTGAGGACCCCCGGATCTGCATTTAGGCATCAGTGGTAAACTCCTGTCCAATAATGCCATCGCTGATAAAGTTGAAGATATAATATAATGACTTTACATACTGCTGTAACTTTATGTTTACTAATACAAGTACAGTCTTTGAGTGAATGTCCTAAAGTACTTCCCACCACCAATGGGAATAGGCAATGATGCAAGAAGTGTTCAGAGCAGCAGCACAATACTAAATACTCAAATATTTAAGTAGCATAACCCCTTTTGGTAATGCATAATATTAAAGTATATTTAGTCAATTCCTTGATTTAGTTTGATTTCAGAAAAAGAAGGAAACGATATTTAAGGGAGAGGTCCCTAAACACAAAAGCAGTTTTTATAAAAATGAAGGAAACCTATTTACATAGGGTATTTTAACCCCACAAATAATACATTGAAATGAACAATATGATGGCTTTCCATAATATATGATACATTATATAATAGACTGAATCATTGCTATAAACCATTCAAAAACAGATCAAATCAAACAAACTGTAATAAAGCATAGAAATGAGTATTAACTAAGATCTGTTGTTTTCTACGAAACCACTTATAACTATATTTATAAATGTATATTCATGTCTCTCATCACCCAATATCGAACTAAGATTAAGAAACTGATTCAAGAGCCAGTAAAAAAAAGTACAAGTTAATTTAACTCAAAAGTAAATGGCAAAAAAGAATGAAAGTATGGTACGTATATTTATTAGAATGACAGTAGCTAAGAGTGAACGTATTATTCTGAGTACAGATGGATGGCATGCAACGAGAGCATACAGGAACTCATGGCTGTTGGAGACACAGTGCACGTGTGTAAATAACATTTGAAGCTAAACAAAGTTATTACTGTCACAGTATTTGTCAAGTCGCTATATCAGCAAATTATACACAAATACATTAACGGAATATGAGCAAAAAAACAATATTAACAACAACAATCATACTAAATATAATAACAGTCCTGTGTGATGTCAGTATGCTCATACAGGCTGCTTCTTCAGCCACATGTACAACTGTCCTTTTCACCTGCTGAATATAATATGAGCTTCAAACAGGAGGATTCAGGTTTGTGTAGGTGTCCCAGTCATATACAGTATTTCAAAAGCTTTTCCACTTCACTTCTTTTTTCCTTCTTCACTAAAGCTTAGCATTTGATGCATTAGACCGCAAAACAACTAAGTATTGTGACCATTTACAAAAACAAACATTGCTGCTAGACATTGATAAAACATTGTATGATATGTTTAACTACTCTTCTAAAGATCCTTCTATATTGGACGTCACAGTTATAAAAACCTAATCAATGTGCGTACACAGAACAGAACGTGTTTCTCTGAAAAGTGTCAACGTTTGGTTTGTTGAACATGGCTCAGCATCTAAAGATACTTTTAGTATGAAATGAAACATCAGATATACTACACAATATCCTGCTGATACAACAACATTGAAAAGAATGGATTCTATTTGTCATTGCCGTCTGGCCTCTCAGAATCTATTCACATTGAACTTTCTCCACACATCTTGATTTTTTAAACACCAACTGTTTGTTTTCTTAATCATGGCTGAAACTAGCAACACTTGACATTAAAACCAACACTAAATATTAAAATAACACGTTACAAGCTAACCATGTCAGCACAAGATCAGATTCTGATTCCGTTTTCCTAAATACAAAATGATGATCAGGCGCAATACACGTCTGTATTGCGCCTGATATGAACAGTTAGTGGTGATCTAAACTTCACTCAGGGGAACAGGCAACATTTGCACAATGGAAGGGGCTTCTTTAAGATTATGAGCACCTTTGTACAAATCAATCTGTGACACATTCAAAAAGTAATAAAGAAAGCTCTACCATTTACAAGAAAAGATTCAGATGATCTAGGAATGCAGAAGTGTCTCACGATAAAGACAAAGGTCTATATGAACATACACAATGTCAAAGTGAGAGCAGAGGCCTTCTGTTCTGGAAGAGCACGACCTGAAGTATAATAAAGATCAAGATGTTAACACCATGGTGATAGAAATCTAAGCACCATCACAGCAGTCTAATATCAGCTCTCCTCTTTGATCCCACCTCATACAAACAGGCCAATATATATTAGAAATAGAACAAATAAATAAAAGACATGTGCAAACTAAATAAATGAAAACATCTCTGAATGAGCAGCAGGGCATTCAGATATTCTGGCCTTGTATAAAGTAAGGCACCAGAGGTTTCCAAAATTCACTTGGTATATAGTATATACGTATAAAACAACTCAATTCTTCAAGTGTATTAAAGGCAGTCCATCAGAGTGCATACAACAGATACTGGAGTCGTCTCTCAGGCTAGAGCACCGGTCATCTTCTGCAGCAACGGGATCTGAGGGAAAAGGACAAACCTGCCATTAATCTCTGAAACAAACACTCATTCTTCCACAACTAAACTGGATTGCCTTCATGACCTACGTTTTTTACATTCACTGTTTTATTTGAAGCTTTTTCCGGAAGGTTCCACTGGCTGATTTGAACTCCTTTCGGGCTCCGATTGGATACAAAAGCTGAGATCATGTGTGATATAAGTCATAAAGACTGGAAAAGCGCTTTTAAAATGTAGTCTACTTAACCTTTACAAGTGTCACTGTCAATTGAATAGTGTTCTGTGTTTGCTGACAGCAATATACAAGTATCTTGTAATATAAGAATGTTTCCTAAACATGGCTCGATGGTAATGACTGCAACCAGAGGCATCCCTTTTCTTCTCTTCCTCATGATGACATAATAAGGCACAACGTAAAGTGCTATTTGACTGTCTTACTGTCACATTACATGTACTACTCATTGAAGTCCAACTAAGCCTGTGCAAACTGTTGTAAACAAATAAAAACCCAGATGACGTCATCACAGTTATCTCTGATCAGGTCTTGGAGACACCACATTTATTCTTTTACAGATAATCTGCGTTATGAAGTTTTAAAAGATAAGGTCCTTTACAAGTCAGAACTGGTTTTCCCAGGATTATAAGCGTGCTACTCTGAATTTAAACAGATGTTTTTCACTAATACCCCAACTTCATGAAGGTGCAATATTCAGTCACTGGAGTACCTCGGTAACTAATGCTTGATTGGAAAATACAACAATCCACCAACAACAGGCTGGTTTTTTTAACATCTTTCAGTCATATCCAACAAAGCTACGTAAATATACTCTTAGTTCTAATCCTACACACACACACAAAAGCATTTCATCGCATCAATATGCTGATCCCTCATGCATTTCATGTCTTAGTAACACTACACAGACATTGTAACTGTTATGAATGCTATATTATTGTGTTATTATCAAGCTCACCTTTAACAGGTCCACTCCAGTGAGAGCATTGACAGACACAGGAAGTTCAGCCAGAAGGCGGGTGACCTCGCCCGTCACGCGGCTGCTCTCCCCACTCAGGATGACGATCTCATTGGTCCTGGCTAACGGCGCTGCCACCTTAGCAGCAATCTGCAAACATATGGTTATGGGTTTAAAGTAAGTAGGAAACAATCAAAGTCTCCCACATGGAGTTCTCATAGATCATGTGATACATTTTGTACTTATAGTCTCATGACTCAGGGGTCATGTGATCCCATTATAAAACATGAGAGCTGTCATTTTTCTTTTTATGTTTTCAATTGGGGTCTGGGTGTAGAATATATTAGTAGTTACTAGTGTAAAATACATTCTAGTTTCCTAAAACTTAAGCATTCTACTGCTTTCTCAGCGGACTAAAAAACAAAACATAAAAAATATAACAAAGATTATAGATGCTGATAGGCAGATTCATTCAGACAAGCTTTTCTCCCATTTCCAGTCTTGTGGCAGTAGCTCTGTATTTTAGATCTGAAGCAATTGGAGAAGAACTATATCTATTCATGTACTCATTTCAGCAAAGACTCTTCCTGGTGTGGGAATCATGCATGTTATAAAAAGTAATAAGCATGCAATAAACCATTAAACTCAATAATCTCTTACCATAGGCAGGGCCTCGAGCACCAGCGCAGTCTTAGCTGCCTCTCCGTACAGCTGGTAGGCCTCGGCCTTCAGTCTCATCCTCTCCGCCTCCGCCTTGCCCACTGCCTCGATGGAGCACGCCTCTGCCTCACCGATCCTTCTGATCCTCTCTGCCTGAGCCTGTGCTAACAGCACCGCCTTTGTCCTGATGAAGGGGAAACACAAAGGTTAACATCACTGATTCCTCTAACTATCAAAAACACATCGCACTATAGCCTGCTTTCTTCTGACTTATGATCATGTCATATTTCCATATATTTGGGATCATTTGCCTGGCTAAAGTACGACCCAAAGCACCACTAATTACTACAAGCAAAATGTATGCCGAGTGACTGTTACACTTTGAAGAGTGAAACAGTGAGTACTCGGCTGTTGGTTATATACATTCAAGCATGTGTGACAGCCCACTGGGAAGTCCTTAAGAAAAACCAAACCTCTTTACAGGGCCGGTGCTGAGCTACTCTCTGGGAAGGTTACATGCCGATGTTATTCCAAAGAATACACCAAAGCTGGAATATTGCTACTGTAGTTGTTGCACGAGAAGAGGGAGGTTTTTTTTACACTGGTATTAGTTCTCTCAGTCATCCGGCATTTTCTACAGATTGTTGATCCTGGTTATTGCAGCTCATTTAATGCCCCTTTACGGAAAGGTTCCCACTAACTTGTGCCCTTCAGCAATCTGCTGCATTCTGTAGGCCTCGGCCTCAGCGGGCCTCTTCACTGTGGCGATGAGCTCCTTGTCTGTCCGCTCAATCTCCCTCTCCCCGATGGTGATCTGCTTCTTCCTCTGCACCACCTGGATCTCAATCTCCTCCAGGCGGATCTTCTGCTGCTCCTTAGCTGCCTGCAGCTCGTATGCCAGCTGGGCCTCTGCTTTCTGAAAACACCAGCAAATAGAACGTCACACACACACCTGAGGTAACACACATTATGTTTGAAACCTACTTTCAACAGCGCCCACCTTGGTGTTGACTTCCTGGTTGAAGGATGCTTTATTCAGCTCCAGTTCTCGTTTGGAGTCGGCCATCTTGGTGTCAGCCTGGAATTTAACGTCCATCATCTCCCTCTTACATTCTGCTTCCTATGTGACAACAAATAAGTAAAGTAGTGGTCAGTTAATTGTTCTGCACGAAATAATCAATTTCTCTGAATCTCCCACCTACTAATGCCTCCTTACCCGTATCCCAGCATCCCTCTCTGCCTCAGCCACGCCAATGTCTGCATCCCTCTGCACAGCTGCAGTCTGCGTCTTCCCCAGGGAGCTCAGGTAGTCCAGTTTATCGTACACATCCTACACACACACACACACACACACACACACACACACACACACACACACACACACACACACACACACACACACACACACACACACACACACACACACACACACACACACACACACACACACACACACACACACACACACACACACACACACACACACACACACACACACACACACACACACACACACACACACACACACACACACACACACACACACACACACAACACACACACACACACACACACACACACACACACACACACACACACACACACACACACACACACACACACACACACACACACACACACACACACACACACACACACACACACACACGTATTTTAGAAGGTCTGAGGAGCCAGGTGTCTTTGTTTTGTAGTGAGCATTGATAACACATAATCCTCCTTTCTGAACACTGACTGGTGTTCTCTACTAGGATAGAACCTCCATCTGTGCGCAGCAGCAGATTATTGATTTCTACACCTGCTCTGAACACTTGCCAACACGCTAGTGCCTCATTAATTAAAACAATGACTAAGTCAGCATACTATCACCTTAGGAACATATCTAATAGACTTGACTACTACAATGGTGTCTTCACAGGTCTCACTAAAAAATCTATTAGGAAGCTGCAGCTGATTCAGAACGCCGCTGCTCGAGTCCTCACTAACACTAAGAAAGTGGATCACATCACTCCTGTTCTGAAGTCTTTACACTGGTTCCTCACTAACACTAAGAAAGTGGATCACTCCTGTTCTGAAGTCTTTACACTGGCTTCCTGTGTGTCAAAGAATAGATTTCTAAATACTGCTGCTGGTTTATAAAGCACTGAATGGTTTAGGCCCAAAATACATTTCTGACCTCCTGCTAAATTATGAACCATCCAGATCTCTCAGGTCTTCAGGGACTGGTCAGCTTTCTGTCCCCAGAGTCAGAACTAGGGTTGGGAACCGAAACTCGGTTCCAGATGAGAACCGATAAGAAAATGCCGGGTACCGGGTACCCATACAAAATACATAATTTTGGTTCTGCTTAACGGTTCCTAAGCGCGGTAGACCCTGTATTCCAGCGGGTCCGTCTGCACCGCGGCGACCCGGTGGAATACAGGGTAAGGGCGGACTGGTCATCTGTGTGTTCTGGAGAATCACAGAACGGCCGGTCGTCAGCGGGCCGTTGACGGCCGGCTCGGTACGCTGACGGCCGGCACCGCCCTTACATTTTTTAAACGGCATCATGTAAGTTGCCCCGCAGCGAGGCTCCCCCCGCCCTCCCCTAGATATTTCACGAGCTCAGTCACTTCATAACACCAAAGATGGGTCGCGGTAAACGCTCTGAAGTGAGGCTCCACTCCACTAAAAAAGAAAAAGACAAGGCACAGTGTAATGCCTGTTAATAGCTTGCCACAGGCATAGCTCAGTTAAAATAAAGCACAGCTATTGTGCAATACATTTGTATTGCACGTATATTTTATATTTGTAACAATTTCAGTTAAAGCTTAAAAGAATAAAGATATTTTTGTTATCTAAACGTTTGACCTCTTTCTTTTACAATTTTGGAATCGAAACGGGGAATCGATAAGAACCGGAATCGATAAGCAGAACCGGAATCGATACATTTCAAACGATACCCATCCCTAGTCAGAACTAAACATGGTAAAGCAGCGTTCAGTTATTATGCTCCAAATATCTGGAACAAACTCCCAGAAACCTGAAGGTCCGCTGCAACTCTGACTACTTTTAAATCCAGACTAAAGACTTTTCAACCAATGTAATGTTTTTCATTTTTGTAAAGCACTTTGAATAGCCTTGTGTTGAAAGGCGCTAAATAAATTAAGTTAATAAACTGGCCTTGCCTGCCTTACATGTTTTGAATTGGGATGAAAAAAATGTATATGTTCAATTAAAGACAACCATCAAATGTTTAAGGCCTCACAAATGAGTTATCTGATCATGATCGCAGGAAACATCTCGGCCCGGACTAATGGATGTGAAAGAAATAAACTCTTAGGGTTTGAAGATAAGCACTTTGGTCAGCTGCTGTGTCTGCACCACACTGCAATTAGTTCTTACAACAACAGCTCACTGTACAGAAAGAGAGAGCGTCCTGCCAGTAAATCATTAGAGATATGGAAAATAAGAGATGACTGCTCTAATGAGCAGCAGTCTCCACCGTAGATAAATCCCATGTGAAAGAGGAGGTGAGTGTTGATTCACGTTTGTATGACTTTTACTTGCTGCTTAGCCCATAAACACACACTGTATATCCCATATGCTAGGCTCTAATGCAAGTTCATGAGTAACACATCCTAAAGATGCAGTTCTAAGCTGAAAGTGAGTGAGCTTTAAACTTCTCATCAGTTCCAGTAAGACCATTTATCCCTCCAGAAGCAGTCAAAGATTCATTCAAAATAATGTAATACGTGATTATTAATATTCAGTGGAGCAAATATCACCGTAAAGTATTATCATGTATTCATTAAACACAAGACCTAAGGAAACTGAACATTTACTTGGTTACACAACATAACAACAAGGAAGAGCAGCAGATTGATATAGGTTAAGGCAGTGGTTCTCAAACTTGTCCTCTCATTCCCCACTTTGAACAGGTGGGCCTTTTCAAGCCCCATCTGTTCCTCATCGCTCCAATAAACTGGTAGGCCAAGCTTAAAATGGTCAAATGTATCGTTCTATAACAGGGGTCTCCAGCCTTTTTTAGGATGAGAGCTACTTTCAAAAAATAAAACAAGTCGTGAGCTACTTTTACTCCTCTTTTTCAGTTTTTTGCAATGTATATATTTATCACATTTTAATATTATTATACGCTTACCTTTAACCTTTGTGTGCTGTTTGGGTCTGTGGGACCCGTTTTCAGTGTTTACTAAAAGAACATGTATTCAATCTAATTATTTGAACCTGCTTTATTTGGGGGTGGACCTCACCTCCTCTAGGGGGGTCCTCACCTCCTCTAGGGGGGTCCGGGGGCATGCTCCCCCAGGAAGATGTTTTTTAAATGTTGAAGTGAAATGCATCAATCTGGTGCACTTTGAGCACAAAATGAATTTATGGATACAGCTCTCAACACTCGGATGAAAGGGAGCTGTATACTTTTCAATAATCCAAACATCTTTAGAATATGATCACAACCAATAACAAATCATTTAACCTTGTTTATTCTGATCTTATGTTACCTAGTTAGCATTCTTTCTTTTTATTTATGCATATTTTACTAATCACTCCCCTTTTAAACTTCTTTTTTTTACTGTCCTATAGTACACATTGGAATGATTTCTTACTTTATTTTTTACAACTAGGCTATATTAAATAGATAAAGGTGTGCTCCCTCTCGCTCTCTGTCTCGCTCGCTCACAGAGGCTGTGTGCTCCTCCGTGGCGATGACAGCTTGCGTTAAAAAATAAACATAGGCCTATTTGTAAAGTGGGGGGACACAAACAGGATTTCGAAAAGTGTCACGGTTAAACTCCTTATGAAGTGGTGAGCTCCACATTGCTTTTCTTCCCGACTGCAACGCTGTTGGCCGCTGCCGTTGGTGGGCCGCTGCCGTTGGTGGGCCGCTGCCGTTGGTGGGCCGCTGCCGTTGGAGGGCCGCTGCCGTTGGTGGGCCGCTGCCGTTGGTGGGCCGCTGCCGTTGGTGGGCCGCTGCCGTTGGTGGGCCGCTGCCGTTGGTGGGCCGTTGCCTTCGGTGGGCCGCTGCCTTCGGTGGGCCGCTGCCTTCGGTGGGCCGCTGCCTTCGGTGGGCCGCTGCCTTCGGTGGGCCGCTGCCTTCGGTGGGCCGCTGCCTTCGGTGGGCCGCTGCCTTCGGTGGGCCGCTGCCTTCGGTGGGCCGCTGCCTTCGGTGGGCCGCTGCCTTCGGTGGGCCGCTGCCTTCGGTGGGCCGCTGGCTCTGGCATAGGTGGGCCGTGGACTTTCACAACGCCGGTACCGCACCCGCCACCGCAAAAACCCGCCGTTGCGAGGCTCCGGCACAGCGGCGCTGTGAAAGTCAACCGCCGTTGCGAGTCTCCGGCTGTAACAGTCCACTATCGCCCGCGAGGACCCAGGTTCAATTTCGGCCAGACGTCCAAAACATTTATTTAAAAAAAATAAAAATCTCCCGTTCATCGCGTCCATTCGCGATCCACCTATCACATCTCTGCGCCCCACCCTTTTGAAAAACGCTGGGTTAAGGAGAGTTGACTGGAAATGGGGAATGGATTGAGGTCACCCTTAATCTAGGAAGTTACCATCATAAAATGTGTCTTTAGGGAGAGGAGGAGAAACGAAGAAAGAGCGAAGATTGTCATTCAGGCTGAACAGGCTAGTCCAGTGGTTCCCAAAGTGGGGGACAAGCCCCTTAGAGCAGAGCTATTGCAGGGGGGGCCCACCAAGGCAAATTATTAGGCATGCTTGAGCCCTGCTAGCATAACATGGACACGTTTGTGACAGGGCTCCCAGCTAAACGCAAAGCAGAGGATGAATCTTCACCAAATATTCAGTAACCCACTCTTCAATTAGACGGACAGGCAAGCTGTTCCTTGGGAGGCCCGTGTATTTATTTGAAACTTTGTTATGCAGCTAACTTAGTGGACAGACTTATCACTGCTGCTACTCCCGTTCACCTCCAGAAACATACTACACACGTATTCCCCATCTCTCTCTTAAAGGGCAAACGACCTTACTCTGCATGATCCTACTATTAAAAACACTGGTTGCGTTTTGGATTAACCACTGCTAGGCAGGAGAGCCATGGCCACACTCCTTTCTTTTGCCCCACCTTACCTATGTGAGATGTTTTTCTGCTGTGGCCTCAAAAACACAAATACAGTTTAAAGCTGGTCTTTGAAAATGAAGTAAGAGTGGCAGTCTCACAGCTGCAACCCCAATTAAAAAGATCTGCAGCACAAAGCAAGCCCACACCAGTCACTGAAAAGATGTGGTGATTGAAGGTATAATTTTTGCAAAGAAAATAATCTCTACAAAAGGGGGGCCCTGCAGAAGACATTTGGGATGGAACTACTGGTCTAGTCTATGTCAACACGTGCTTTGTTGCCTTTGTATTGGAGAGAATTTCCACTTTAACCTGTGATCATTCGCTTGCTACATTAGTACTTTCAGCTGGTATTGTTGCTGAAGCCTCTCACAACGCTGTAACCTACCTTAATGGTGAAGCTGAGGATCTCGATGCCCATCCTGCCCACGTCTGGAGCTGCTACTTCCCTCACCAGCTGAGCAAACTGGTCTCTGTCCTGATAGATCTGCTCTACAGTCAGGGTACCTGAGAAGACAGTCCTTGTCAACATTTCTATAGCACATGTCCATGTGTGCCTTGCAATTCGAAATGCCAGTTTCACAAAGTAGCAGCAGTCTTTTGAAATTTATTTTTGACTCAAAATGTCTTTGATTTATGTAAAAACAAGCATCAGGATAGTCTTAAACCTTCAGAGAAGCATATTTTCCTTTGAGATATGAATGTCACATAGTCAATAGGGTTTAACAAAGTGCATAGAAAATACTGCACTGGAGTTAAGAAAATATGCTGTTTGATAACTATGTTAATCATCTGCAACATTGTTGAAATCAATTAATTATTGAGTTGAGTCATATTTTATACTTTAGGTTGAACGAAAGAAGGGAAATGTATAGACGACTCCTTTGACATTCAAACGATTAATACGCAGAATAATCTTTAGCTTGAAGGAAAACCAAACAACTGTTATATCTCTCACAGGCTCCGCCCTCTACTCGATTCTATGGGTACTACCTTATCATGCAAGCATTCACCTACTGAGACTTCTATAGACGTAGCCGGCCCCGGGGCGGGCCTATCTGAATGCGCGTATAAAAGGAGGCCTCACCTCCTGACTGTCATCCCTTTCTCTTCAGCGAGCGGAAGTGATACACTGAGCATAGACGCGAATAAGAGAAAGAGAAAGAAAGCATGGACTCACCACTCCTTGAGCACCGGACCTGCCCGACATGTCCTGTGCGTTTGCACACGAGCCATGGCCAAGGAAGCTGCTCTACGCCTTTCCACCGCTGCGTGTCATTCTCCCTCTCCTGGGGAGAGTGAGGCGAGAACGTCTGTCAGTCATCCTAGTGGCTCCGGATCGCGTCGGGCCGACGTGGTTCTCAGAGATGACACAGATGAAGGTGGGCCAGCCCTGGGCAATTCCCAAGTTCTGGGGGGCGACGTCTCAAGAGGCAGGTGCAATCGGGGCGTTACCATGTATAATAAGAACTGGATACAGCGTGGGAGGCGGGGTCTCATTCATTCCTATGAGAGTTGCTCATTAGCGCATGATGATAAAATGGCCCAACTTTTGAGAGAGTGAAACGTCACAGATTACCCGGCATGCCTGAGAAGTACCCGTATGTGCACTCATAGAGCATGCGCAACTTTAACCAAAATGCTCGTTCACATCAAGCACGTCAATTTGCGTACACTTAACAGCACCGCGCGTTCATGACAGCATGGTAATGGATTGTTGTTATCATGGATTTGATATTAACGAGGCGGCAGTTAGCAGCTAGCGGCTAGCTAGTAATGATGCTAATGTACACATCAATCGTTATGCACTTATATTACGTTGTAAGTTAGGATCTAGTGATATCCAAGCAACAGAGCTTCATTTAGCATGAAATAATTATTGCACTGTGTGCAATAAGCTTCTTAGTGCAATAATAAGCTACAGGGACGTTAATCTAACGTCGGCAATATTAACTTTATTTAATACAACATTTACGGTACAAGATTTAATCATACAGCCCATGTAGTATAATATTTTACAAATGATGAATTACAGCAAACATGTGCAATATATCCATTATTACAGCTCCGTGGGCTGGCAGTAAGGCGATATGGGTCCGTTCTTATTGTGCATCCATGGGTAAAGATAAACGCATGTAGTGCTGAACACGTAACTTGAACGTGCAGGGGGGCGCGGTCCCGTGGGTTAGATGCGCGTTCATAATGCCGAGGGAAATAACTCTCAGAATAACGTTATTAGCACATTTTTACAACTTGAGGAACGAATGTTTTTAATAAGGGCTATACAAATGTTCATACTGGGTTGTTTATTTAGTTTAAAAAAAAAATATCCAACGATTTACAGACCACTCTTTCCCCATGTAAGTCAATGGGAAAAAGTGTTTCCGGGCCTGGCAACCAAACGGATGTGCAGTACCGCCGTTTGGCCACCACGAATATTTTCATCTGAGTCCGGCGCACTTCCTGGGGGCTTGGGCGTTACCCACTCTGGGCCAACCTCTCCAGGCTTGGCTCCTGAGAGGGACAGGCTAAGACAGGGTGGATTGTCTGATAGCGTTATTCAGTCTATCCAGGCAGCTAGAACTGGATCCACCACAGCCTGTTACAGGCCAAAGTGGCTGGGATTCCAGCGATGGTGTGAGGAGCAGAAAATAGAGCCCCTATATTGTGAGTTGGGCTCTATTTTATCCTACTTACTGGTGGACAGAGGGCTTGCTCATTCCACAGTGAAAGTGTATGCAGCAGCCATCTCGTCCTGCCATGAGGGATTTGGTGGCAGGTCAGCCTTTTCTCAGTCCACTGATGCCGCGGTTTGCCGCTGGTGCTCGAGGCTTTGGTCACAGAACCATATGAGCCTCTGGACTGGTGAGGAGGGGGGGGGCGCAAGCGTAATGCGCTTACGTTTTTTCCGGGCCCCCTGGAGGGTCCCGGGGTGCGCACTGGGCCCTTACGGGGCTGGAGGGCTCGCCTCGCCTGCCTGGGGGCAGGAGGGGAGAGCCCTCTACACCAGTGGTTCTCAAATGGGGGTACGCGGACCCCTAGGGGTACGTTGGAGTACTGCAGGGGGTACGTGAGATTTATTTTTATGTTAATTGAAAAAAAAAAAAAATACCAATTTTAGGAAAAGTAAGGAAGTTTGAGCATTTATATTAACAGAGTTACACATATTTCAAAACACGAAGTGTAATAACTGCAGTGGCCTCCCTGTCAGCATGACAAAGATCCTCAGTGAAGCACAAGCCCATGTTTCACTACATTGTAAGTACAACTTATTAAAAAGATCAGTTCAATGCAACTAATGTCGTCTTAGTGTTATTGCATGATGTTAAAATTGGTTTGCCATGAATTTAGTGATGGATTGTAAACATTTGAAATGTAGCATTAAGTGTTTCTCAGTTACAAGGTTGTTGTTTTAATAAATCAGACACCGATGGTGCAGCACCGTACCTCTTTATATAGGCATTTCTTCCCTAACAAATTGTTTTTGCGCTGATCAGGGGGTACATGGCTGCATTTTTTTTTCAAAGGGGGTACATTATTGAAAAAAGTTTGAGAATCACTGCTCTACACTATAGTCCAAGCAAACTCTGCACGGGGTCAGTGTCTGAGTGTGGGGACATGGGGCACTTGCGCTCTCCCCGGGCTCCTTAGGGACTTGGGAGAGGTGGTGCATAGTGTGCCCATACGGGGCTGGGGGCTCTCTCCGCCTGCCTATGGGCGGACGGGGGGAGACCTCAGCACTGTTTTCCGAGCACACTTTTCACGAGGTAAGCGCGTCAGAGTGTGCTCTGTCAGCCGCAGCCCAGACTTCTCCACGGTTACAACCGAGGTAGAGGTGAGTGAGGCGCAGCGGCTGGTAACCAGAAAGCCGGTCAGGGGCAGTGAGGTGGAACGGTATTGTTGGACGACAGCGCGTGTATACATCGGGGCTCCGTCCACTGTACCCATAGAGTCCAGTAGAGGGCGGAGCCTGTGAGAGATATAACTAGGGGTTACGTATGGTAACCCTTGTTATATAAGCACAGGCGGAGCCCTCTACTCGGGGCACTGTCTGTCCTATACCAGTGTTTCCCCTATATACAAATAGCGGCTGTGCTGCGCCGGTGCTGAAATATGCGCGCCGCTGCTAGGGTTTACCGATGGCCTGGCCTGTTAAGTGGCCTGCTGGTCTGGCGATTTAAAAAAAATGATGTATTGTGAATAGGGGTGCAACAACTAATCGATTAAAATCGATGACCAAATTAGTTGCCAACTAATTCAGTCGTCGATTCGTTGGTGACATCACGTGTGTTTTACGCGCCGTTAAGCTCCAACGTTATCGGTCTTTTTATCGGTACTGGAGACACAATTAAAAAATATATGTCATGTATTATTGCTACAAAAACATTATCTCGCAGTCTTAGTGTCGCCAACTCGTTTCTAACATGCAAAAAGACAAAAAAATGCGTCTATGGTGTATTTTCGATCTTTCCAATCCAGACGAGATCTCTCTCTCCCCCATCTGTGTGTGAGGGGTCGGGGCAGTTTCCACTCCATGCAGCAACACACGGCAGGGATGGCGGAGAGAAGCGCTCCAAGGTGTGGTTAAATGTTACCCGTCTTGAGGTGGACAATGCTCGTTGCCAATAGTGCAATAAGAGTTTAGCATGTAAGGGCGGTAACACGAGCAATTTGTCTAAATATTTATCAAAAGTGCTCCACATCCAGACGGAGGAATGCACCGGGTTCGACTGTCTTTCTAGTAGCTCTGGAGCCCCATCCATGAGTAACGTTTCCACGTCAGCAACACACGCAGTTAACAAAATTATACAAACATGGGTTAATGATTAGAGGTAACTGAGTTATTTATTTTGTTAAAGTTTCAGCTATTCTGTTTACAGTTCTGTCATCACATTATTTGATACCATTTGTTAAAACATTGTTGTTTCTTTTGTTGTGAAATATTATTTATTTAATTAAAAAAAAAAAGCAATGTTAATTCTGTTCACAATTTGTTTAGTTAATTTAATAATATATGTATTTTTGAATCAAGTATTCATCTTTATTGTCTTCATTGTTAGTTTCCACATGTCTAAAACAACCTCAAGCTAAATCTAAAAGTTGATGGCTAAATAAGAGCGTTTCAGAAATTGTGCAAGGCATAATAGTCCGAATAGTCGATTAATCGTTTCATTAATCGATTATCAAATTAATCGTTTGTTGCAGCCCTAATTGTGAACGCAACGCTGCGCAAATGTGGGTCTGACTCTGCCTCATAGAGGGTGACTGTCTGTCTACATGATGTGGCCTGCCGACATGGCCACTTCCATACCGATCATAAATCAAAGCCCTCAATTGGTCTCTGTGTGTCATTCAAGCTCGGGAGGGTGTGTGTGTGTATGTATGGTACGAGAGAGAGAGAGAGAGAGAGAGAGAGAGAGAGAGAGAGAGAGAGAGAGAGAGAGAGAGAGAGAGAGAGAGAGAGAGAGAGAGAGAGAGAGAGAGAGAGAGCACACCGGTTACTTGTATTTTTGTTGTTAGCATCTGGTTAGCTAGCTGCTCTAAAAGACATAAGGAGCTGTTTCAACAACAAGGTGGAGGGAGAGTCCTCTGCTGTCAGACTGAGAGAGATAAACAGCTCAGGTGAGGTTAGGGACTCTCTGAGTGTTTAGATAGTTAATTTTAGTCTAAGTTAACTCAGTGGGTCTCAAACTAATATGTGTTTACAAATTATGTAAACACATATTTCCAAGGCACTCCTTTATTATAATTATTAGGATAAATAAAAACAGGTTTGAAATCATTCCAATGTATACTATAGGACAGTAAACCAAAAATATTGTTTAAAGTTGGAGAGATACAAACATATGCATAAATAAATAAATGTTAAGGTAAAATAAGATATGAATGAACAACAAAAATAAAATAAGTGACATGTATTTGTTATTGGCTATGGTAGGTTATTGGTTATGTTCACATACTTATTTGATTATTAAAATGTAAACCGATCTTTTTTATATGGGTGTTTAGAGTTGTACCCCCTAGATCTAGTCTCTAGTAATTATGCTCAAAGTGCACCAGATTGAAGCATTTTACTTTAAACATACCCCCGGACCCCCCTAAAGGATATGACGTCCACCCCCCAATTAAAACATGTTCATACAATACTGAATACATTTCAAGCCATTTTGACGTATATTACCTGTGTCAATACGTTTCTGTTTTTGTAGTGTATTTGTCTTTTGTAGAGATTTTTCATTTATTCATTATATATAAAATCTCACCTAGGGCAGCAAATTGTCTAGAACCGGCCCTGGTACTAGGTCTCAAGAGCCTTTCTTGTGCTGGCAGACTCATAGAAACAAATTGGCGGGGCGCACTTCGCACGCACTAAAAAACTCCACGCGCTTCGCGCTCACATTATGCTGGGCCCACGTGCCTTAGCACCGCCGCTATGACTCCATCCTAGGGGAAACACTGCTATACCGCTGGCTGAAGAGAGGTGTAGGATGACAGTCAGGAGGCCTCCTTTTATAAAGGTGAGATGCGCGCGCATTCAGGTAGGCCCGCCCCGGGGCCGGCTACGTCTATAGAAGTCTCAGGTGAATGCTTGCATGATAAGGTAGTACCCATAGAGTCCAGTAGAGGGCTCCACCTGTGCTTATATATACGTTACCATACGTAACCCCTCGTTAGTTGCAGCTCAACACAAATTATTTACACCGGTATTAAGGTGACAAACACAAGTTCTCAAATTAAATGAATGTCCATACCTAAAATGGAGCGCAGGTGTCCCTCCAAAGTCTGCAGAACCACACCTTTGATTTCAATCACGGATTTACCCAGGAACTGCTCACAGGCTACAGCCAGTAAGTCCTGCTCCGTCATCACCTTCACCTGAAGAACGTTACAAACTCTCTGATGAGCGTTCTTTGTATTCTGCTCATCAAAAGTTCTCAAATGTAAATGAGTCGAGACACAAGCATCCACACCTAATTAAAATAAAGGAGTTTAACATTTAACCATCTTTATGTGACACAAAAAAGTAAACAATCTGACCAGACATCAGATTAAATCTTTCTGCACTTATTTGATATTCTGCCTTAAAGACACATTGATGTGAGCGTACACATATTGAGGTTCACACAGGCCTAGAGATAACAGTTGAAGTCAGGTGAAGCTTTGTGTGTGAGAGAGGACCCTGGTGTACCTGAGCCACCCCTGTGACAGTGATGGCCACCCCCTCTGCTGTCTCCACATCCTCACAGCGAGGCTTCAGAGTCATGATCTCCAGGGTGATCCTGCAGAAAAACAAGGCACATGTACTGGGCACTGAAGAGAGGGAGTGAGGGGAGCCAGGTGTGGAATACAATCTGTAGATGTTAAACACTGTTGATCAAGGACATCTGTCTAAGTCACTCAGGGGGCAGTTGATAAAAGCGTAAACCAAAAATGTAATATAGTATATGTAAATAAACACACTTTGATTTAATGTTTAATGTAATTAACCACTACCACATGAATCCAAATACTGGACATGAGTATTTTTCAAGAATTGAGGAATATTTCACAATTTGATCTGTGACATGTTGCAGGACTTTTGCTCAGCGCTTTGGAATATAAACTGCTGTGAATAAATGTTGATCTCTCAGCAGAGATCAACCAGCCGACAGTGACTGCTGTCTCCTGTGACACTGCACATACAGTATAAGTATGGGGCACATTTAGCATTCAAACACACTACTCTTCTTAGAAAAGTGCCAATGTGTAAGCCGACAGGAAACATTTGTACCAACATTAGAAACGACTACACTGTGTGAAATATCAGAGAAAACATGGTGAACCAGCTTCATCCTTACTTGCTTACAGACTGCTAGCAGGCGACAAAAGTTCATTCCAATTGGGGTCTGTTTGTTTTATCAAGATGAGTTTGAACAGAGCGCTTTTTATAGTCAAATCCATGTATCTGTGATGAGTAGCATTTACTGTTACAAAATCATTTCAATTTGCTTCTAAAAGACAAACTCTATTGCGAGATAAATAGACCTTATGCTTGTATATTCTAACCTTTGGGTGTCCGAGATGAGCCACCACGCCCAGGCCCAGCCCCCCACAGCATAGGTCTTAGTGTCAGAGCCGCAGCAATCACCTGAGGGGGGGCAGTTGCATTAGGACAATACTTCATCTTCAGTCATTCAGTCATTAGGAACATGTGACATTAAACAAAGCACAGAAAAGTTGAGCAGATTGAACATAAACTGAGCAATTCTCTGATGAATACATGTTTTTAACTTGAAAGCTTTTCAAACCCTCTGTCTGTCAAAGGCAGGTTGGGTTACTAAAAGCATTAAACAGTGAGTCAAATGTCACTTAAAACAGGGAAACAAAATCTGTCTTTAAACAAATACGCAACTGGTGGTTGAAGTAATTAGATCCTTTAGGTAAAAGTAAACATACCATAGTTTAAAAATACTCAATTATAAATATAATCCTGAATTTAGAATGTTAGTAAAGTAAAGATGTGTCAAGAGAATTGTACTTAAACAATCAAAAACATTATTATACAGTATGGTTCCATCCAAAGTGTTATAGTTCTGGGTAGGATACTACTATATTACTGCATCATATCAAATAAGCAACAGCTAGAAGTGCGGTGTTTTAGGGGTCACAGCAGCCACACTATTGGAAACACTGCAGTACAGCCTCCAGAAACTGAAATGTTTTGTGTGACACTTCTACAGAGACGCCAATATCCATGTGCATTCATCTTAAATGCGCTGTCCTTGTTGGACATCCTTGTAGTGAGTGTTTGTTTGCATTTAGTTATGTTTCATTTTCAAAACGTTATCCAATTATATATTTAAACAATACAGTGACACATTAAAATCATTGAATCTCTGTTAAACTAAGCCAAAACACCTCAGATGAGGATACTGAAAATACGATAAAAAAACACTCCTTAGGTTTTGTATCTTGAGCTTTTTTTTTTCTTTATTCCCTGAGCCCTCCACGAAATACACACATCTGACTTCACTTGGTATCGGCAGAGGTGAGAAAAGTACTCAGATCTTGTACTTTAGTTAAAGTAGAAGTACCAGAGTGTAGGAATATTCTGTTACAAGTACTAGTCACTTCGGATATTGTTACTGCACAAGGAAAAGTACTTGAAGTGGTTACCAGTTATAAATACCTAGGTATCTGGCTTGATGATTGTCTTACTTTTAAACCTCATGTCGATAACCTGCTTAAAAAGCTGAGGGTTAGACTAGGTTTCTTTTTCAGAAACAAGTCCTGTTTCTCACTTGAGGCCAGGAAAAGGCTAGTCACTGTGACCTTTTGACCTGTGCTGGACTATGGTGATCTGATCTATATGAATGCACCTGCCCATTGCCTGGAAAAATTAGATGCCGCCTATCACAGTGCCCTGAGATTTGTTACTAACTGTAAAGCACTTACTCATCACTGTACCCTGTATGCCAAGGCAGGTCTGCCTTCACTAACTGTACGGAGGCTCAGTCATTGGTACATGTTCATTTACAAAGCCATGTTGGGTAAACTACCTTTTTATATCTGCTCACTGATCACACAGAGAGTTGCAGGTAGCTGTTGCCTAAGATCACATGATGTGGTTGTGTTACATGTGCAGAGTGCAAGGACTGCCTTAGGTACGAAAGCTTTTATGTGTGCAGCTCCTCTTGCTTGGAACAGTCTCCAAAAAGATTTGAAACTGAGCAATTTGGTTCCACTGCATGTTTTTAAAGCCTGGATAGGTGCAATCAGCGCCATATAGACTGAGATATATATAGATCTATATGGCGCTGGGTGCAATGCTATTTTATACTGTTGGTACTTGTCAATGCCGATAGGTATGTCAATGTAGCCCTGTAAATATGATGTATGATGTCCTTTATTGTTTTCTGTTGTTTTCTGTTTCATGTTGTAACCCACTTGCTGCAGGTCTCCCATGAAAAAGAGATCGATGATCTCAATGGAACCACCTGGTTAAATAATGGTTTGAAATTAAATGAAAGTCCTGCAATCAAAATGTTAATCAAGTAAAAGTAGAAAAGTATTCTCATCAAAATATAGTGAAAGTAGCGACAGTAAAAGTAGTCGTTGTGCAGATTGGTCCATTTCAGAATAATATATATGATATGTTTTATAATGATTGATCATGAAAGTGTCCTCAAAGCTGGTAAAGGAGCAGCTAGTTTGACTGACTTTGTATACTGCAGGGTCAATAAATGTAGTGGAGAACAAGTACACAATTTACCTCTGAATAGTATTGGAGTAGAAGTACAAAGTAGCAACAAATTGAAATACTGTAAAGACCAAGTACCTCAACATGTTACTGAAGTACAGTACTTGAGTATATTTACAGCACTGGGTACCAGCTCCCCACCCTAGCTGTATCATCAGTGTGGGCCTGCATGAAGAACTTTCAAAGACAGCATTTCTGATATTTGACGCATATGACCTGCTAATAGCTATGACACACCGTCGCTGCCATGATGCTAACGAGTTTAGCATTACGGTTTTACATTTGTCGTGATTGACGTTAATGTACAAACACAAATTGAGTTGCTTTACACAGTAAGCACCCGATTATATTTGGCAATAGCATTTAGATTAGCTATATGGCTACAAACAAGACTATAATTGACATTTTCATTCAACCGCCGATGTACCTAGCCCGTTAGTCTAATATGTGAATGACAGCTAGCTTAGCTCCGTAAGCCCAGTGAGGAAGAACCTACCAGAGACCACCAGAGCTTCGTTCGGCCCCACGGTTAAGCAGTTCCCCATGTTGACTCGAAATGAGAAAATAAAAAACGTGCAAACAGCGGATCCTTTACGGCGATGTTGGTATGAATTTAATGAACAGTTGTTTTAATCCGAGGCTGAACGGTGTGAAAAGATTTCCTCGCGTCCCGTAAAATGACAGGCACAACACAGCCCCCACCGTCTAACGACGCCGCTCAGTGACGTCACGTTTGTCAACAGGAGAGCCGTGCACGAGAGCCTGTCAATACACTTTAAAGGTGATTTGATACAAATATAGTTTTTATATGTACAAAAGTGGAGGGGCACGAACAATTTAGATGTGTACATATAAGCTTCTGGTGCTTTTTTAAACACGTAAACAAATAGCTGTAGGCTATGGTTCCGATAGAGAGAGGAACCATAAGGAAAACACAGACACTCATCATCGAGGTCACAATATCAATCGATCCAGCAGAGCAATAGGCTATAGGCAAAACACAGAAGATCAACAAAAGATATGACATACAATTAACTTACCAAAGCTGAAGTAGATGGTCAACTTCATTCATTTTCTTTCAGTTTTACTGATTTGAATCGCTATAAGCAGCTCTCTCTCGTCTCCTCTTCACAAACAACTACTATTTTCGCGGCACACGTAGGCCTATTTACAGCCAATCAGCTCTCTGAATTATGAGATGACGTTTGGTAGGTATGTCAGCACAGTGCCTCACTGGTGATTATTGTTTTGCTGCACACATTGAATAGAAAAATAATCTGAGCATGGGCAGTGTAGTTTTTACAGCACCCATTCACTTATGGCGCATTTGCAGTGCAGGGCCTCGCACGCAGAGCCGGCCCGACCCATTAAGCGACATAAACGGCCGTTTAGGGCCCCGCAGCCACTAGGGGCCCCCTAGCAACAAAACAAATAAATTATAATAATCTCAGTACACCGTCACCGTGATAAGTATGTTTAATTAATGTTGTTAATATGCCTAGATTGCCTACTCTCAAAGTCATGTATTATATTATTGAGTCAATCATATAATACATTCACCGTGCTTTACCTGAACCTCATCATGACACTAGAGAGGACGGCAGGAATGTAATTTCCCGTGTTCAGTGAATGCAACAGAGGCAAGACACCAGACCAACCAGAGAGTTGAATGGAAATAAACATCTGTCTTATTGGCTGACAGGTACCTATCCTGTGAGCTGTGACAATGTTTAAAATAAACTATCAGTCGGACTCAGAGTTTTTGAAGATGGACATATTTTCTTTAAAAAGACGACAATTCTCAAGTGGTGGCTCACACAACAACCCCAGAGCCACCACTTGAACCAGGTAAACAAGGTATGTAAATGTCAGTAAACTTCCAAGATATGCAAACATGTAAGCAAAGCATAAATTACAGCTACGTTGACGTTACTTTGAATCGCGGGGGTAAGCTAAACCGTTAGCAAGTAGCTATAGCTAGCCAGATATATTCAATAAACACGTTGTCATACAATCTAAATGTAATGTTTTTAAGCGTTACCTGGTGATTTCAAAGAAAGCTCTCTGGGAAATGTTGACTTACTGTTCGACATGAAGCTAAAAGCTACCCAGATAGCAAAAGATGTTAAATCAACGTTGAATTATGGTCAAAAATGTTGATTTTTGGTTAAGGTTGAAGATTGATGGTGGATCAACCTTAAATGTTGAAAAGATGTCATTGAATCAACGTTGTATTGTGGTCGAATTTAATGATTGAAATGCCAACATTGAATCAATGTTGAATCTATGCTGTTTGCCTTTTCTTTTTTTCTTGATGGGGGAGGGAGGGGGGTACTCTGTAGGGGGGGGGGGTGTAGTCTGTGTGTGGGGGTGGGGGGTGGGAGAAATATCCCACATAAATCCGAAAAATTCACTAAGTGTTGAGGCCAAAATGTGGCCTCAACACGCAATTTGAATTCGATTGGTAGTACTTTGTAGTGACACTATTTTGGGTCCCTAACATTGATTGAGCTAGGGACTCCCCCCCCCCCCACTAATTGGATGACGCTGAGTCGAATGGTAGGTGACATCAATGGTCTACAACTTTTCAATAAGAAGTTACAGATTTTTGAAATAGTTGCAGATTTAGCTTTTTTTTTTTTAAACATTTTTTTTTATTTATTAAAAAACACTTTTTTCAAACTCAGAAAAGGACGTTGAATCGAATGGGCTAGGTCTCTATTTTCCAGGACCTTGGGAAATATCAAAGATCACCGAAAAGATTGGAGTTTGACCCCTGTAATTTTTTTTTTGTTTTTTTTTTGTTTTGTCTTTTATCAAAATCTATCTATTCCGACTTACTTTTTGACGCTGAATCCAACGGTGCCAGTCTCGAAGCTGTACGACCCCTAGTGGCCAAGATAATCATAAATAACTGTCTCAAAGGCTTGGAAAAATATTTTTTCAAAATCAAACACCATATTCTGGGTCAGCGCACTGTGCGCTGCCCCGAACGTGCCCATATAACTTTAGTCACACACGGCCTTACGGTTCTCCTTAATTGGCTGGGGTCAAGGGGCTTTCTATTTTGCGTTATATCTCGATGTTATCCTGTCAAAATTGAGTTGCACACTGGCAGGTCAGTGACCAGGATGAGATTAAGGCCCCGGCCACACGAGGACGAAAACGGCTAAACGCATAGGATTAACGCAAACGCAATCGCAAAAAAGCTTCCGTCCACATGCAATATTCACCGGATAGTGCCTGTCCACACGAGACAGCTCCGTTTTGCTCCAACCACTGGAGAAGCTGCAGTACATATGCAGGAGCCTGTACGTGGCGCTGTAACTTCCTCCACAAAAGCAGCGAAGAAGCATGGTTGTCATGGTTGCCCTTCTGTTTATTCGCCGCGGTGGGGGCCGAGGGAACCGGGCAGAGTTTTTCGCCAGTCAACGTGTATTAAAGTTTAAATCTTCCGGACAAAATTATAAAAGTGCCGGTCAAAGGTCTTCTTTGTTATTTATTGAGCTTTAAAACAAATGAATAACGAATCTATATAATATAATAATAAAATACATGGAGCCTCTCTTTTTCCTCCCTCTCTTCGGACAGCGTCAGTGTCTGTTTCATGCAGCAGCTGATCCAGTAATGAGTGACCCGGCCGACAGTAAAAATAAACATATTTATAACTAATTTAGGTAGTTTGAGAGGTGTCTCCGTCCTGTCAGATTAGACTTCACTCGCGTTTATGTCCATATCGAGAGAAAGATAAATAATCTGAATTCAGTGTGCAGTTTACTTTGACGCGGGGTGAGCAGCAGAGGTGGGGAGAGGCGGTTTCAGTCAAATTACTTGTCCCAAGTTTCTGCCTGACAGATACTGTAGCGGTTTTGAGATTTAAAATCACAATTTCAGTCAGATCAACTACAAAGCATTTATACAGAGTACACACACTGAAACAGAGAAGTCTAAAAACAGAATGTTACTCACACAATTCTAGAAGTCACCAGTTGTTATCCTGTCAAAATCGAGTTGCACACTGGCAGGTCAGTGACCAGGATGAGATTTAAATACAGTTTCTGGGGGGGAAGTGGCCGCAGATCAGAACTGATGGGCCTCAATCGAGACTGGCTCCCTCCTGAGCCAGTCTCCTCCTGAGTTGTGACACTATCGGACAACGGATTCTTAATCAGCTCTTCAGCCATACCTGCCAACCTCACACCGTCCGATAACAGGAGATTTTTTTCCAGGGGTGGGTGGGGGGGTGGCATACTGAACACGCCCAGGACATTTTTAACAGAGTAGATGTAATTTCCAGTATTCTGGTGGATTTCGGGAATTTGACACTTTTATCAGGCTTTACTTACATAGGATCCATTAAAAAGTTAAAAGTAGCAATAAAAGAGCCATATTTAATAATAACCACTAATTACTTAAAAATGACTATCTCTTTAAAATTGCATTGGACTGGAGTTTATCCAGACATAAAGCGACAGTAAAAGAGTAACATTCCCATTCTCTCAGAAAGAGAGTTTTTTTTTGGGGTGTGTGTGCCAGAATCAAAGTGTGCGTGTGTGTGTGTGAGCGCGTGTGTGTGCGTGCGCGTGTGTGTGCGTGCGCGTGTGCATGCCCACTCTGGGTGAGAGCATTTTATGGGAGGGGGGTCTCACATTTTAAATTAAGCACCATATGTTGAGGACAATGGGTTGTGATTTTTTTTAAAATTATTATTATGTGTAAATCTTCTTAAGTTTGTGCGTAATGACAAAAACATCTAAAAGTTACCTTTGGACAGAGACTACAAGGAGTGGAGCAGTCCAAATGTCCCATAATATCCTATTTTAACCTAGTGGTACACTGTAAAAAAAAAAAGTATTGTACTGTATTATTTTACAGACCTTTCTTGTTTTTCTATATTACGTGTAAATACCATAAAAGTAAATTACTTGTATTTAAAATAAATAAAGGTTTTATTCTGTAAATTGGTTTGATGAGAAATTATCGTTTTTTTACAGGATAATTCCATTGTTTAATTGTCTTGAATGTTAAATTACATAGAAAATATGTTACATTTTAAGAAGTCCCTGAGATGCTGTTTCTTGCAAGATGTCCCACCGGCGGCACAATCGGGATATACAGGTTAACAAGGTGGCTGCTAACGTTAGCTTACAGCTTATTGCAGTGCTGCCGCCACCCTCTCGTCTCCAACGCGGGACGATTACACATAAACGTGCAGCAGGGTGTCACAGTGTTGTCGCCAATCTTATTGTAAAGTTTCACTGCTTTTTTACTGCGGAATCCAGTTTGTTAATGTTCAGTAGCCAACAGCTATCATAGCATAAACTGCTAACCACTAACGTTTGGCTAACTTGCTAACGTTTAGCTCTGCTCTATCTACAAGCTAACATGACTAGCTAATGTCACTGTGTGAACTAAAATAGTTGTTGTATCATCATACATCATACATGCATGGTCCAAATATCTGCTAAAATGATTATTTTTAACAAAATGATCATTAAAGTATCTTTATTTTTTTGCATTTGTATCACACTTGGCATAAACTATTTTAGTTCATCAATTAGAAGTGGAGAATTAAAATCATGATTTGTGGTAATCAAAAACAATGTATTTAAAGAAACACTAGGAATAACATAGGAAATAATACGGATAATTTTTTACCCATGTTGTGCCTTAGAAGTGCAGTGATACAAACATGATTTTTATTAAAGAAAGTTCAAATGAAAATTAGAATTGGTGTTGATCAAAAACAGGTTAATTGAGGAATTCCTGGAGGTAATTTATTGCAAAGATATTTACAATTTAAACAAATTTGGGTCACTTTTGACACATGTTGGTTGTATGTTGTGTAACAAAGGGTTACCATGACAGCTGTGATGTTCACTCTTTTGACAGAGCACCAGTGGACAGTGAAGACTATGGAACAGAACATGTGATGGCTTTGTGTGGAAAGCTGCTGAAGCCAGCCGGTGACTCCTCATCAGTCTCTCCAGGCAGCACCCAGCTATTCTTCCATCTTGCAGATGAAAAGACTTTGATATTGTGAGTAATAACTAACTTGTCTCTAACATAATATTGAATGTCAGTGTTTCCCCTAGGTTTACTGCTGATA